CCTCGAAAGGTACGCGGTTAGTACGGCGAATCGGTGCCCATGGAACGTTACGCTCTTCACGTGCTTGGAGAAATTCGGAGACACAAGAAAACCAACACCTCGTGACGTTGAATTTGTTTTTTGAGCAAGAACACTGAAGCTCCGTCGGTCCAGGTGCATGAGAGAAGCTCCTTCCGCTTCGTCTCGCTCGAGCCGAATACATGGTATTTAATCCGTCCAGCTTCAGCGATGAGTGCTGAAAGTGAGCGGCCGAGCTGATACTTCGACAGTTATAGGTGCACGCTATCAGCTGGCTCACTCTTTTCCGTCTCCTTTGGTGTTCTATGACTGTGTGCTGATCCAGCGCTACCTGACTGGGCAGGGACAGCCTGCAGGGAACTATTGCGAGGATAAGAAGTGGTCGTAGTAAATCTTCGTCCCACAGGATAGCCTCACTAGGGCGTTCTTGTCGCTCAAGGAAAGCGCCGTCCCATCATGAGCTTGAGCTTTTTGGGTTCTTTAGTCACGGGAATCGATATGGAGTTCCGGTGTAACTCTATTCTGACGAATATTCCGTCCCCGCCTCAAGCTCGTACACCACTGCAAGGTAGAACCCATGTACGAGGACGTTACGATAGATAACTGAAATCAGTAATTTTGGCCATGATCAAGATTGCAATACTCATCGTCGCGATCGCCCTTATTGCTCCAAAATTCATAATACGAGCCTTGTGCCAGTGCAGCACTCCGATACCCGTGTACATGCGATATGTTGTCAAACTCCAACCTGGCACCTAAACCGTTGGCGTTGTCAGGGATCACACCTCAGAACGGCATAAGTAGACATGATACGTCCTCAAGCAACCTAGCCAAATATCAATAGCTATCTGCTGTTACTCTGCAACAAACATTCACGCAATGCCTTCGTCGTCGACAGTTCCACGCTTCTCCAGTGAGAAGCGGGAAGATCTCTTGGACTTGGATATCTCCAGATCAGAAGCATTACTGGCTGATATCCAAGATTCCATCCCATCTTTTGCTCCTACTGCAAAACCGCGTCTGAAAGGACCTCCGAAATGCCCTCCACGTCAACTCCCCAAAAAAGAAGAGGCCTACCGCTAAACCAAAAACTACCTTGCGACCCCTTTTAATATCGCACGATGAGAAGGGTGTGCTATCGAATGAAAACGCTTGCGACATATTCTATGCTATATTGGATGCCGTCAACGACATCAAACGGAAGCAAGATGGAATGGAAGACCACCTCCGACGAATTGACGAAAGGACGCATGCCATGGAGCTGTGGACTCGACAAGCCGGTAGTGTCTCGATCAGCGCACCTCAGTGCCCAATCGTAGCACCTACACGCTATTGCGAGGTCTGCTACATGGTTGGACACCAGGCAGTGACACGCATATATCCAAGGCACGCATGGACGTAAGCCACGTCGAAGAAGTCTACAAAACAAAAGGCATTTGCAAGAAGTGTCATTGTATACATAGATAGTGGAAATTGTATTGAAACGAAACTAGTCCGACTAATCACCTCAGGTAGTACTACTATTAAGAACCTCTTGAGACGCTGCCAGAGGCGTAATCTATCGGTGTGTGCAATCAATTAGGCAACCCCATCCCGTTGACGCGGTGCGCTCTTTTATCCCATCGCTGAATTGTACTCTGATAGACCTATAGCGTCACGGTATCTGAGCACCGCCCACATTCATGTATATATAAGCTTGCAGATTTATGTATTTTTGTCGCGTGCCATACACATTGTAATACAGTAACACGATTACGGTCGTCCATTGGTCATCAGCCAAGCCTGTTACGATTTCACAATAGGATCCCACGTGCATAGCGAAGCACCTGTTTCATACAGGGAGAACCAATGTGCAGGACCAGCCAATGAGACTGAAGCGAAAATAAAGGGAACTTCGGTGATCGTTGTAACTTGATCGTCAATTCTTCTAACTATGACTATACAGCGCGAGTATGGTTCCTCGAGGTTTTACATCAAAATCCAGGTTCACACGACTCAAAAAGAATCGTGTGAACCTGGATTTCGACGTCTGCTCCTTAACAATCTGATTGCTTTATCGGGAGAACTATTACTGCAAAAAGCTCGAGGGACGCCGTTGCGAGCTACAAAGAAGCCACCAGAAGGGGATTTGTCGGAAGCCGATGGATATATCCAAGTAAAAGTAAACAATGAAGTTGGCTAAAACAAGCGGACGTAAGGAACGCTTGACTCTGTTCACTCTGATCCCGTTGAAGAAAAAAGTTCTAAGCCTGATTTAGTGGAAAGAAGTGCGAACTCATCCCGGCTCAAAGTGTTCTAGTGCCCGTTGCCAGCCTAATTCATGTACATGTTCCAAAGCAAAATCTCAAACTTGCACTTCGAATTGAAGAGAGCAATTAACCAGCGAAATCTTCTCTGAAAAGAGCCATGCCCTACCGTGCATTCATGTCTGTTAAACAGTTAAAAGCCGATAGACCAATGTGGACTGGCTCTGACGACATAAAAAGTGTTTCACCACAAGAAAAATGTGTCTGTCGTGGTATACGATACGAGTTGCAACTGCTTGAAGGCTGATGTGACAGCGGGCTGGAATTTCTCAACAGTGCTCAGCAAAAGCACTGTTGAGAAACAGCACAACATGACACTATTTAAATTTGTAACAGCGCTGCAGAAAGATGGTACCAATTGACAATAATGGCTTTCATCAAAGGAGAACAGGACAAAAACAAATGAAAAATTTCAACAATATTAACATTCGATCAACAATGTACAAAAGAATAAATGCTAATTTTTTGTCACACACTGTCTGAAATTCTAGCTCAACTATAACCTATGAATTACGGCAGATACAACTTCTAAAATGGACAGTTACCACAAAGAGCTTCATCGATAATATAAATGAGCCCCTTACAAGGCTAATTCTAGTGTTGTTTGACCATGTTTGGTTTGGGATGATAAAACAGAGCTGAGTGCATAACGACCTCAGACAGGTTACCTATCAATGAAGGGCGGTACTGGCCAACAATATCGGTAGCTTTACCCTCCAGTACCAATAGGCCACGCAGCCGTTGTTCCACCTGAAAATGAATGCTGTGTGTAGGAAATTTTGAGATTTTCCGTCCCAACGAAACCCAATTCCGGAATTATCATCATCCTACCGATGTTACTCCGCGCACTCGATCCGCTACCCGTTGCTATTGAAATTTACACTCGCGAGCATGCAACGGTACCTACCGTAACGGCCTTCAGAGAGGGACAGGACTTTGCATCTTAGTCTTGAAAATCCTCTGTCGTTCAATTATTTCCTTTATACGCAAGCTTACTATTCAGAAACGTTTCGTGCATATTTAGAACCCTATGGAACCAAATTGGGAAGTCTTGCCCATGGTCCCCCTCCTCTCCCCCTCCCTTTCGACCTCTCTACGTGTTTCTTCAGGTATTATCGAATTTATCGAATTTCGTGACAGACAGACAGACAGACAGACAGACAGACAGACACACAGACAGGCAAATAGATGCGAGCGCATCAGATATACCAGGGACCGTAGAGACAACACTACCAAAACCCCACTTTCCCTCTCCTTCTTAATATCTTCTCAGCCATAGCCCATCAGCACTCAAAGTACAACATGATAAGCCTGACACCAAAAAACCATAAGCATTAACCTTTAAGAGTACATGTCGGGAGACAATTCATGGCCGTCGAAGAGTTTGGAACTTTTTCAAAACAAAAACCTCACTTCTTGTTGTTCCTTTCGCAACACTTGCCGCCTCTTTTCTATTTCCTCTGATTTCTCCTTCTTCTCGGAGAGGTACTGTTGGTGAAGTTCCTCCAGGCGTCTTTCCTTCTCCCGCTCTACGCGGGCACGAAGTTGCGCTTCCGCCCACGCCTGAAGAAAGCTGTTCAATGAAAAAATGTAGGAAGACACCCTAATCCTCTATATCATGGGCCATGTGACCGACTCCGAATATTAAATTGCGAGGTAAGATTGTTTTACACGAAGGACAAACATCCTCTGAGAGCAAGAATGCTGCAATGAAAAGTAAAGGTGCTACATGCACGTCCTGTGAACTTGATATCACCTTGATCAACTCGAAGTTACCATTCATACGAGTTGACTTATCCTTGTCAGCCTTGCTTAGGAGAACAAAAACAGCAGTCAGAATTTTGAGTAGTGTGCAGGCTTCAGTCCAAAAAGAAGTTATTCACAGAACCATCCGAAAAATCGTTTTTTAGAGGGTTCACCTGCGGTTTTCAAGGAGCCACTACATTGCAGTTGTATACACTAGGACTCAAAGAGAACACTAACCTCCCAACATCTGCAAATTTGGTCAATACTTTATGAAACAGCGATGGCTTGAGGGGGCGAAATAGGTGGTAGTCAGAGGGGCCATTGTCAGGAAAGCAGAGTGGAAGGAGTCATCTCTCCAATTTCCTACACGTTTTTTAGCTATATGGTGCTTAGCGTTACTGTGAAGAAGGTGGGCAGAAGCAAGTCTTGGCCATTTTCTACACCAACATCTGCGAATACTGAAGGCGATTCTCCGATGACTGTTTGTCTTCTGGAAGTAGCCCGTAATATGGCACTCCTCGCGAGTTCCATGAGCAGGCAAGAAGGCAAGCGTTCATGAAGAGGAAGTATCTAGCTTGACTTGCGTCGATGGGCGTTTTCATCGAGGAGTCAGAAACTCCCTCCAGTGAGGAGAAGAATAGACTGATACTTGTCCACTAGTTCGCAGTAAATGGACCAGCGCTGACAGTGTTGAAGGAGCTCAAATCCTCTCGCAACGCGCTGTTGAACGATTGTCATTGCAGCGATCTCATTCATAGATGATTGCTCGAAAGTGCTTTTGTGGATTTAACATTGATATCAAGTTAAGGACACGGCTATATTCATCTATCACGCTTATAAGATAAGCTCGAGAATGAGCATGGCAGATCATGGCTTTATCAACCTAAAAAAGAAAAGAACGGAAAATGCGGAAGATGGTCGCTTTTAAAAGAAAGACTTGAGATGAAGGATCGTCTTGCAGGATTGCCTTTACCAGACGATATGCCCAAGCTGATGAGACTGTTGCAAACCAAAAAAGGTAATGGAAATCTGTGGCCTACCTTCCTGGTTTTCACATGTTCCGGTTGTTTTTGGACGTGATACGCTATTTTCAACTCATTGATCACTCTTTCAAAAGCCTCTGCATTCCTTTCCCTGCAACAAGACTGGTAAGCTGTATGGAATATGAAGACGTAATTGTAATAAATGCTGGAAAATAGGAGCTGGCAGACCTCAAAAGCCGAAGACTTTTTCTTCTAGAATTGATTATGAGCCAAATGCGATGAGTAAGCCAGGTAGGTTTCTAAATGAAACACTTTTTTAGTCAAAGCAAGCTGAGCAAGGTAAACAATCAAGCATCAACACTAGAAGCTTCGTGAAATATTCTTCGAATACTCGTATTTTGCTACTATGACAACGGATTTCAACTTTAGTTCTGACAGATATTTCCTTGATATTATTATTGTTAAGGATCAGCTTTCAATCTATGCATCAATAGAATCTTTATTTGAAAATATTCCCTTTTCATAAAACAAATGTAGAATGCGGGGAAGAAGAACGAGAAAACTTGAATGGTAGCACGACCTTCAACTAAATATAGAAAAGTATAGTAGAATGGGAGTCATGATATGTCTCCAGTATACGTGTTTTGTGGGCACAGAATACGACCGAAAATTTATGTTCCTCGTTTTAAAAAGACAAAGTATCATCTCCTTTGTTTTTTGTTTTTTTTTTGATTGAAGTTTTGAAGGTTTCTTAAAACGAAGCATTCTTTCAAAATCCAATTGCTACGTATATCTAGGACTGAAAGTCATCAATCAGCAAAGACTGTAATATGACAACTTCTTGATTCGAAAATCTACCATTTAACTACGGCAATATGCGTTAAAGACATAAGAGTGCAACAGTACCATAAATTCTGAAGAACAAACGGACCTTAGGTGTCGTTTTCGAAATGTCCTCGACAAGAAGCGACCAATGCCGTATCAGAGCAGTCATCCAAGCAACTATAAAGGAAACTTCGAAGGTTTGATTACAGTGAATAAACATATCAGGTAAAACACTTGACATTTCATTTCCAAACATTTCCAATCAGTTTCCTGTGGCACGACGGAAAAATTTATAAGTACTAAAGCCGGAAAAGGAATTATTACTAGAAGGTTAAAAAATGAAACTCGCTCTTCATTTCCAGGCTACTCGTATCTAAGGAGTGCTGATTGACCTTGCCTATAAGTTGAGCTTTCCACTCAGACGACATATCACGACGAGTGCCGAATCCAATACTGTAAGACGATAAGTGAACTTCAACATAAGCTGGCACAGAGAAGAAGATGTAAGGATCAAAGTTTACCTGAAGATTTTTTTCACACTTTCTGGAGCGTCATTCAACACATCGAGATTTTTGTACGGGTAACGAGGAGCATTTAAATCCAAGTCAGGCAATCCAAATTTCACTCGATCTGCCACCTGTTAAATGAGAGGAAGACAAGAAATATCTCACCGTAGTTACAACAGCTATCAGGCAGAATAGAAAAGTAAGTATACCAAGTTATCCTGAGCCTTGAGACCTAAGTCACGTTCCGATCCAATTTTTTCATAGTACAGCTTTCCAAGGGCATCTATGTAATGCTCGTCTGCAAAAAAAGGCTGCCAAATGAAGGAAATCTACATTGAACTCTTAGAAAATATCGTTTGTATACTGAAGCCATGGCTTACAAAGCTATGTTCCCAGTAAACAAACCAAATACATAGAACATTTCTTAGGCCCGAAATTACGAAAGCACTAACCTAATGGCAAATCTCTCGCTGCTTTTTCGAAGTATTCTGGATCTTGCTTCGCTGGATCTGTAACTTTCTTATGAATATTGTAGAACACATGTCGGCCACGTGCTACGGCTGCAGAGCAGTGAAGAGTGCGTCGCGAAATCGACTGCATTCCGATGGCCCTGAAAACGTCTATTTCGAAAAATATTCGTGACGTATAAATTCGTGTGAAAAGGACAGTAAAATTGCAAAGCATTCCCACTTTCGAGTGGCAGAAAGCGTGAATCAGAAGCTTAGAGCTTGACTTCCTTCTCAGAAAGAGAAGTAACTTGCCCCTGAAAATTATCCTCAACTATGTTTGGGCGAGAACTTGGTTTGAGAATGGCAAACCCATTCACTACGCCACTGAAAAAAACCTGCTTAACCTCCGGATGAGGACGCCAACTGCCAACTCCGCTTTTACATTAGTCGCGCTCTTACGTCCTGCCTTAAGGAACACATCAACCAGTTTTCTAGGCAAATCGGTTGTATAACAGACCAGTCGCAGCTTTTTGACCCGAACATTGTTAAAAGGAAAAACTGTGACAAGGAATGAGTCGAATTCCCCTCAACTTCCTTAGGCAACAGTCCCACGAACGTTAAGAATCCGCTCAAAGGACCCTTAGATGGAAAAGCACTGAAAACATAATAGTAAATGGAAAACTGGTGGGAGAAAGGCAAGGAAAGAATGAAAAGAATGGAAAGAGATATAAAGGCGAACATTTTTCGCTACTACCTACGCTTTCCCCATAATCGTGTTATAAAGCTGTTGTCTACCGAAATTTTCCCCTTGAGAGATAAATAGAGATCGCCGCTCGATGTCTGCAGTCTTCTCCATAACGCTTAAGCTTACGCTTGACCACTAACCCTTCTCGGGAGGGCGACTTTGTGCTCCGATTCCCACGGTTGTAGAAGCGCAGTTGTGGTTATGAGGAGGCAAACTACTGGTCAACTGGTAATTTCTACTTTTTCAGTACTTTTCTGCGCGTTGTCAGCTTATCGCCAACCCTGGTTCTCCTCAATATAGCTCGAACAAATATTCTGTCTTATCGGCTGTAATGGCCAGAATCGTTTCTTTAGATGCTTGCAAGGTTCGTGCCCCATTCTTCTCTGCCCTTTAGCCTTTATTATTTGGTATACAGAGCATAATGCACCCAAGGGAAATCGTGTATGCATGCACATTCTTACTCTAACAGCAACTATCGGTCTTACGCGAACGCCCTTAGTCGAAGAGGAATGGGTGTATCTATACTACGATCGTCGTCAATGGGTAACCCTCCGGCCCATGACTGTTGCTGCGTTGAATAAAATGTAAATAAAAAGTTATAGAGCTCACGGGTGGAGGGCACAACTGAGTTGACATTGACTAAGGCAGCACGGCGTGACAGGTCTATCATCCGAATCCCAAGAACAGCAGCCATAAGCGAACAGGTGGTGGCGACCATTTATGACTAGACTTTTCGAGAGATTAGACATGTGCGACTCCTCTGAAGTGCACAAGGGAAAATAGCAAAGTTCGCGGCCAGAGGACTTCATCACCACCCTGCTCTCGCGGGTTCGTTATCACGAGAGCTGCTCCCCTCTAATCTCTCGGTAGTTAGTGTCGTAGAAACTAAGATCAGACGATCGCCAAGATGTCTTGATTCCTTATTTGATTATGCAAGATGTCTTTCTAGTTGTCTGCTCTATCGAAACTCGTCTGACAGGTATTAGAAAGTGGCTACGGCAGAAGTTCCAATCATTTCGTTTTGAAGCTTGTACATAGAATTACAAGCAAGAGCGCGGAGAAGGGTTTGTAGCTAACTTTACTTGCCCTTAGAGATGCTTTTTAGCCGAAAGAATATTGTTTTCACTTACCCTTTAGAAGGGAAGGAGCTCTAGCGCGAGAATGAGATAACTACTGCTGATAAGCTGAAATGGGTAAGCAATGAACACCCAATAGGTCCGCTGAGCCCAGAACTCCTTAACCTATGAGACTTGGGTTAAAAAAAATAGTTCTCGGTTAAGAAATGTTCCTAAGCACCACTACGGACTCGCGAAATGCGAAACTAGCTACCCCTTTTCCAAGCGCTTTAGCTCTCAATGATTCAGCACGGCTCTGCCTACCCCCCCCCCCCCCCTCCTCNTTCCCATGATTGCTTACATTTCACAAATCCTTGAAACTGCCAATGATTTTCAACTGCGTGCGTGCATTACTGCCCATATGATCAGTTCGATACCGGAGCATACATACCCATAGAGCAAGAGAACCCATTTTCAACGGACGAATACCAGGCCAGAACTGCACCACATACCCGCTTCCTTTTTTAATTTTAGGGATGGAAAAAGTAGGCTTTTTCGACGAGTAAAAACCCACAGATGCCAAGCAATGCCTCTAGAAAGTAGTACCAGCACCTGTCAAGTGAATGCGTTGCAGTCTTGCTCTGTGTTTATTGTATAGAATATATAAAACCGCTTGTCGACGGATTGTTTGTGTCGGATCAGATCAATACATGTCTTTATATTACAAATTAAGAGTAGCTCTTCAAGATATGCAAACAATGAAACAATCGCAGGTTCACAGGGACGGACATATCACTCTAGCAACAACGTTATAGTGTCATATTCGTCGTGAATCCAACAATCCGCAACATGTGAGAAGAAGACGTGACAAGGTGTGAGCTACGACAGAAGGAGATTATAGGCATGTAAAATGACGATGAATAGCCGAAATCATGATATGAACATCGAGTGCTAAAGAGATGAGGCTGTGATGATTGAAGAGCAAGAGGAGAAAAAGAAGGCACCTCACTGAACCATTTTCATATTACCACTATTTATCCGGTACATGGCAACATTTACGGGGCTCGGTGCCGACACGCTGCCACCGCGAAGTACGACACCGTATGACGAGCTCATTTAAGAACAACCATTCGATATCTGTTATAAATGTATTGCTTTATAATATAAGCGACTGCGGTTGGCTCGAACGGCTTGTATTGCGCAGTTGAGAGGAAGAAGTATGCGTTCGCAGACAAAGACTAAAAAGCACGTGAATGGCGAAGATGCCATAAATAAGGTTCTACAAAGGCGGTATTCGATGTACTGAATTGTCCGACGTTGGTTACATGTTTTCGTATTGATCGATTCGCCGTTTCGTGTTGCCGCCACGGATCTGACGCAACGTCTTGTATTTGTCCCTACCCGCACGTTTGTTCTCCATGTGCAGAACATCGTAATCTGTGACAGCGCGTTCATCCTTCACCACTTCCAACTCACGGGTCAGCATCTTAAAATAAGAGAAGTATAGGACCGGTAACATTGCCCATAATAGGAGAAAACAAGTTAGATTACCTCAAGCTTCGACTTTATGCTCTGGTTCTGTTCGGCAGCTGTAGTTCGCTCCAATTCTCTTTGCGGAACGTGTTGATCAGCGTCATTAGTGAGCTCTGCAAACACAACAAAGTCTAACTCATCAAAAAGTGAATACTTCTGTTTACCCACCAGTAACGCCGTTTTCATCTTCGTCAGTATGATTGTCCTCACGTGTGAGCATAGTATGCTGGATCTAAATTTACAACTTTCCTTTCCAGTCAAGGGTGGTGCACAAAATAACCGCATGAGCAGAGCGAATTAATAAGGTTGCTAAGATTTGCTTCAGACGCGCAAGATGGCCAAACAAAAAAAAACGATTCGTCATTTCAGGAGCATTGCCTTCGCCCATGCGCTCACCGTGTACAACTGCCTCTAAAGTAAAAAATTGTTCAGTCTGGAAAGTAAAATCAGTACGTGAGTGGTGTGATTGATGACCGAGGTGTGCTGCATGGCCGCTTCACGTCTGGCCGACTCAATTTCGTCTTGAAGGCGATGGGTGACTTCTGTCTGACGTTGAACTTCAGTGCGCATAGCGTTAACCTATAAAATAGGCCCCCTATCAAGGTAGTTCGACACAGAGGCGAAATTTACAGTAATGAAAAGCTACGGAGTAGCCTACCTCTGATTCACGAATGGCGACTTCCTCACGAAGTCTTCGCCTTTCCTCGTCGCTCATCATCTTTTCGGATTGCAGCTGAGAAGTAAGTTCACGGAGCTCCATCTCCTTATTCTCGAGTGCCTCTTTTGCCTAGAAAAAAAATCAAAGCTTTCAATATAACAGTGTGAATAACAGCTGAATGTGGAACCCAAATGAAAATGAAGCTGAAGGGGGTCAACCGGCAGCGAAAAGTCGACTAAGAACAGAATGGGGTTACCCTTCTTGCGTAGTTCGAGGTATAACTCTCGCTCGAGACGTAAATTAGCTCGTCTTTGTTTCTACTAAATCAAACAGTGAAACCATGTCTCCTTGACTTACCAAGAAGGAATTCCATTAACTTTAAGTTATCTCATCTTGGCAGAATTGAAAATTCTCCACACTTACGTCGCACACCAATCTAAAGGGGGATGCTGACGAGAAAGGACTGATGGTTGCATTAACGGATTTATGGTCTCGGGTACGTAGCTACTAAAGCACCTTTAGCCACCAATATGCTTCGCATCAACCAACCTTCCGATCATTAGACCACATCCCTCCCGATGCTTTGCTTCCGTATTTAAGACATCACTTATTGCAAGAAAAGTCTTTGAAGGGCATACCAGCTGTAACTGTCTAAGCTGCATTTCGAGATTGTGAATGGTGTTTTGAGCCTCGAGGAGTTCTCGCTTAGCTCGCTCCATATCTTCTGCCATACGTCGCATGCGATCCTCAGCCTCACGCTGACGGGCTTCGGCTTGCTCGCGTGCAGACATTTCCTGATACATATTATAATGGAAACATGAGTACAGGCAAAGCCTGAATCTAGACCTAATTAGCTATTTGACTAGCACATAACTTTAAAAAAGTGAAGAAGTTTGAGTAAAGAGAAATTGTGCTCTGTATTACTAGGCATTGATAGGCCGATGGCCCTAATTTTGAAAAGAGCCTTCACAAAATTGACATCCAGAGGGCTAAAGAGTTCTCTTCAAACAGCAATAGAAATATAAAACTGAGTCTTCGAATAAAATGGCAAGTCTGGTGTCTAATTGCACGGATAGGCTGCAACAATGAACGAACCTTATTCAATCTCTCTTGTTCTGCCTGCTTCAAAGCTCGTTCCTCGCGAGCCTGTTGTTTCATTTGTTGCACCTATAAATATGCAATAACCTCTTTTGATTACAAATAAGTACCGAGAAAGGTTAGCAGCAAACAAAAAAAAACATTTAGAGACGTAACGACTACCGGAAATACATCAAATCAAGATAAAAATTTCATCTAACGAAAAATTTTTGCAACAAAATGCAGAAATGACTGGCTGCCAACGCATTATGTATGAAAGCGCTAACCTCGATGGTATCAGGCTTGCGACGACGCATGTACAGTTCATGATTGCCCATACATAGCGCAAGAATACGTTTGTTGATGCGCAATCGTGGAGCGTAAAATACGAAGTCCTGAACGAATCTCCTTCTCCATACAGAAAAAGAATCACATCAATCTACAGCGAGGCCATATGATGGCTTAACCTTATTCACAATAACCTTCACGGAAGGAACTGAAACATCGCAGTAGTGGCTATACCACAACGACGAATTATTCACTAGACTTCGATTTCATGTGATTTCAAAAAGAAAATCGAAGATAGCCAGCTTACTCACGTTCGCTTTTCTGTCGATTGGCTTGATGACGAACTTCTTGTCATTGAACGAGATGTTGCGTATCTCAGACCACGGGAAGCCGACCTTCAAACTTTCATCTTACTTATAGTTGTTATGCTAAAATACAATTACGATGCCCTTTGAATCACCTTTGGAGACAACTTATCCGATTTTTCGTAGATGTTGAGCCCTAGAGCATCGACACCGAGATATAGCTCTGTTCCTTTCTTGTTTTTGATTTCGAAGTACTAAATAATCAATCACCATGCAACTTCAAAGGCCATAAAAGAAGGAAAACAAGTCCTGAAATAGAACTGGAACACTCACATTGACGCCGTACATTTCGAGGTCCTGTGCCAGTTTAAGATACTCAGCCATAGCTTGTTCACGACTAGTTCCTTTGTGGTCTGCCCACCATGTCATTATTCGCTTTTCCCATTCGTCGGAACTCATCTTGAATTGACCAGCTACTCGTTGTGGAAGGAGTCTAAAAAAGATTAATTCATGAACTTGTAATCAGAACAATAGCATTGAGTTAAATGCTGCTTCAAAAGTCTCAGGAAGGCATTCAACTGATCATGTGGTTACCTATCCGCAGTGAGACAGCCAGGTTTGTGTGTTTCCGGTTGGTAGTCTCCGTATTTTGCCTGCATAGCGAAGGAAGCCAACAACACTGACGTTTCAGGAGAACAGTACACTTCGTCCGATAATATGGCATCTTTCACTTGCAAGTAGAATAAACGCTGAAATAAAACTATTCGACTTTATGAAAGAGGATAGACGGAGAAATTTTCAACTACTGCTGTAAATCGATACGGTTTCGCTGGGCAACTCATCGATTCAGTTCGCGTACCAGCGAATACATCTCATAAATAATCTCATTCACGAGTCGCAATTTATACCAAATACCCATTGAGAAACACTTGCAGTATTTCTAATTCTACGGCATAAAAAAGCAATATACAGCCAAAAGAACCAGTCTCTTGTACGACTCTTATGTCATCATGTTGGACTACAAAATAGTTGGGAGACTTCTCAAGCAGCTGAGTGGGAAATTCGTAAACCTTGTACTCTATGTATTACTAGACACCACTAATACTTGTATTAGAACGCATCATATGCTGAAGCGACATCCATTCTCATTCACTGTCTATAAAGACCTAAATGAGGGAAAAAGATCATCATCATCGGGGTTAACAAGACACAGATCAAGGTCATTATAAATGCGCCTCTTTTCTAGATCAATCTACTGAAAATTTGACCGGCCTGTGAGAAGTGCAGTGCCTAAATTTTGTGATTGAAAGTGCAGCCTCTCGACACTGCAACACCTTCGTAAAGTACCATTTGTCCTGGTTCTGCATGTGAAGGGAACGCCTAGGGAATTAGAGCGCTCATAAGTGGCCAGTCGCATCCGCAACTGCAGTGAGTATTCCAGAATACTTGCCTCAGAGTAACGACGAGAATCAGAACTTATGATAGGCTCGTTTCAAGAAAAACTAGGTTCGAAAACGGTACAAGCTAAACAACAATGCCCTTGCCCTTTTCTAGCGTATTCACCCTAGTAATTTCATTAGCAATAGGGTAAAGCCAGTGTTGACTCAGGAGCGTTCAACATTGCTGATGTTAATGTCATTGCATTTGTCATCCTTTTATATGAAAAACTTGTCGTTATTGCCACATTATGAGGCTGTGCTTCGTACCGAGGGAAACATTCGGGAACGTTTTTCGTAACAAAAACTGCCTCGCTTCCAGGATCTTGGCTGACTAATCGCAAAACCTTAAACTGATGGTTTTTATAATCTGTAGGATACCACGCAGAACTCACTGCTTTGATTCTTATAACCAGTATAAAACTACGATGCATAACCAAACATCAAGGGAAGCCCCTTCGAAACGTTTTCCGAAATGAAATGCATTCCAAATAAGATCTGAGTCACCCCAATCAACACCGTCATAACGACACCGATATTCGCCACATTCGATGCTTTGCTGATGCTCTACGTGGCAGCGCCGTTTTTGCGATGATGTAAGGTGTCAGCGCTGGCTCCTTGGCTTGTGCTATCAGCATTAATGCAAAGTACTAGAGCTGATATGGCGAAATCGATAACCGTTGATGCACGAAGTGCGACCATCAATTGATCCCTCCTCAGTGGTAAATACTTCTCGTATCGTCACAAAGATAACACTCGAAGAATGAAAGCGCTCTGTCAGTACGTACACAAGAGGCTACCATGTGAACTGAGATGTTTGGTAATTCCTTTCTACTTTTGAGGTCGATCCTTGTTGCATCAATGAGATGAAGATGACTAAGCCGTTGTAGTGGTCGCCGCCACACATAAGCGGATCGTGCCGGAAATTTGACGACCGACAGTGCACAGATGATACCACTGGCTAGCAAAAAGACCAAATAAATAGATGCTAGGCCCAGTGACTCACTACGAATACAGGGATCTTTCCGAGAAATGATGGCAATAACATGCTCTGAATGACGGTACCCAACTAGCAATGTTCTTCTGTAAAAGACATTTGAAAATTGTTCATTTACCATAGTAACGTCCTGTATGATCTCCTCTCCAACATCCTCAGGATAAAACTTGGCACGGAACTTGAACATGAGTGTGGAGTCCTTTTTGACGTCTTGGGAAAGCACTTTCTTGTTCAATTTCAACCATGTTGGAAATCCTTAAAACATTTTGTAACCAGCTGCTTTAAAAGAGCAAGTGAGCGGTCGTATGATGCATTCAATTTCGAACGAGAAGCTGACTAACACAAATTTCGCCGGAGAATTAAGAAAGCACGAAAGCCTTAATCATGAATTCTCTATTTTGAAAAGAAAACGTATAAGGGCTTTCGAAATATTGCATGAGACGTGAATATATGGCCGTAAAGCATTCAGCGAGAATTGCTGACATTGACGCGAGACGAATATGAATAGAAGATTAAAAATTGAGAATGACAAGAGCGGGGAAGAACTACCTTTAGTGTCGGTGTACTGAAGTCCAAAGTACCATATCTCTCTGAGACCGATAGTTTTGACAACCTAAATGAAAGAAATGATGTAAAAACTTCAAAATTGAAAATTTGATGTAACAAACCTGATCGAATAATTGCTTGCCGGTGGTATTCGACTGGATGGCGAACTCCAGTTCGGCATCCATGGTCGTGACGCGCACATTGATCTTCAAAAATGTAGAATTATAAGGAATTCCTCACCTAATGGACTTGTGTTCTCCTAATCCTGGATTCCCATACACGGGGTGGAAGCGACCTTGGTCTTCAACAATTCTACAGAAAACCATGCGTGAAGAAGAAAACTATGCCAGACAAAACCTACATCCGGAGAGGGCGCCATGGTTGCGAACGGACAAACTGCAAGCACTACTCACCTCTTCTAGCCCCGCCCCTTGTATGGCACGAAAGCGGCCAGAAAAATCAACTGCCATTCGGGCAAAGGAAGCCACTTATTCACCACTTTTTCTTAAAAATAGTTTCAGTAGCGTGAATTCCTGGGTCTGTTGATATTTACCGAACTTGTTCCTTGGATTTGAACCTATTGTTTGATAATTTCTGACGTTTGAGTTCTTACTCATCATACCGGGGAACAAAGAATTATAACAGAAGCGTAACTACGAAGAAAAAAAGTAAGCAAATGTCGAAAAAAGTCTTACAGCTTTTTTAGACATGATGGTCTACACTAGTGGCACGTAGCGTGCGGATGTGTATGAGACCTGAGCTATAGACGGCTTTAAAGTATCCTGAAAACAAGTATCGCTAAGCACTGTTCCTGAAAGTCAGCAGAACAAACGCCCTGAATAAAGTCTACGGTGTAGAAGCTGTAGAAAATGGGACAAACACAAGAATGAGAAAGTTGTTGTGTCCACTGTAAGCGCGGTATCGAAATAGTGCATCAAAACCCAAGCTATATATCCATATTTATTAAATGAATATATCCGAGTGCCGAATATTCTTTAATTAAAAGGTAAACTTAGAATCTAATTACCCACATCGCACTAACGCTATAACCCGTTGGAATTTTGAAAGATAAAATACACGATAACGGCTACTCCGTTTGTTTACTTCTGCTCCTTCTTCACAATCCTTATTGAAAGGTGTCTCCTCATTACAACTTCTTCATCACTATAACACTATTCCTTCGAGATGGACCACATTCGAGGATTCTTTTGCCTACTGAGCGCCTCCTAGTTGGACAACTGATGCGATATCAAGCAAAGCTTGAGAAATGGTGAACAGCTGCAAGGGGGAACACTTTCAATGAACATTCTCATAGTTTCTTTGATTATCATTATTCAAAAAAAATTTCTCCCTCCGGCTATGATTACATTGGAAAATGGCAAGCGTCGAAAAAAATTCAATGAAATAAAGAAAAAACGGGGTATATTTGCATAACTGAGGGACTTTTGATTCGCACAGTTCTCGTGGCAGACGCATCGGTAGCAATTTTCTGACTTCTGATGTAGCCCCCAAGCAAACTGCTCCTGAAACGTGCGTCACAAATGCCTGCATTTAACTACAACCTCTGATCCCTCAAGCTTTTTCCTATTCAACGACGTCCTTCCAAAAAGTATTCAACGCAAATCCACATCAATCGTATTCCACACCAAAGTTATCCCTACTTCTTGTTTTTCGGTCAGGACACTGGCTTTGAGATTCGATTTCCTTAAAAGCAAAAACAATTCCCGTCAAAAATCATTTAAGAAGAGCCTGATTTCGCAACCAACAATTGAATTCATGTATTCCTTGCCGGCTTTTCCAATCGAAAACGCTTCACTTTGGTCTCGACGGGTTTCTTCCTTCTCCTTTTGCGACAGTCTTCAAAAAGTGTTTTTGTCGGATGTTTCCGAAAGGGCCAGCTAACGAAAACACCCTCTCAAGGCTCTATGAATGCATTTACAATTCGGAAACCATTAAAAGAAATCGGTTATTCTATGCCCCCCCCCCCCCTCCGAGACCAACGAAAACTGCTAAAGTTCGATGGTCGCATCCTCTACAGAGTGCTCGTCGTTATGTTACTGTGCAGGCTGGCGCCTACATTATGCATATACTGTCGAACTGTTGAGAGTTGAACCTGCGTGCACTGCCGAGCCTCACTCTATCGAGTTGATGTGATACGTGATATCCTCAACTTTATGGTAGGGTATATTATATGGAAAGGATCCCGAGGATGGGGAGCAAAAGCAGCACAGTCTGATGCGGTATGGTTCCGACAGGCCAAATATGGAATCATTAGGAGTTTTTAGGGCGAAAAGAAAGAGCTCGCAGACCTTCGCGTTTCCCCTCGACGATTCTGGCTCACCTCTCAAGATTCCTTCACTCAAAAGAGGCTTGTTCCTGTCCCAAGCATGCGAAACCCTCTCCAATTGACAAATTTGTGCGGGCCAAAACTCGAAACCTAGTGATCCGCATCCCAAAAGAGCCAGGTCAATGATGGGGTCAGAAGCGAACTTGATAAAAAGCAGTGGTAGTGGTAATTGTGGGGAAAATAATGAAATGAGAGTAGCAAAAGGCATACAGGAGAGGCATAAACATTTGTGGGGGCAATCAGATAAGGCTTACAATGCCCAAACAAAACAGATACTCAATTTAACAATCAGACCAAGTGATTCACCTCAGAAATTTGATATGACTCATAAAACAGACGCAAACAGTGGTAGTCGGGACTTCATTTTACAACTATGCACTTACAGCCTCTTTGGGCGGAAAACAGGTGAAAGGACCATGTCCCAGGTTTAGTTGGGAAGGAGAGACTACTTAGTAAGCGTCCTGATATATGGCAAACAGAATGAAATTATTAGGAATCCGAAGGATTACCATATGGGTAGATGCAGCATTACCAACATTGTACCTAGGAATGTTGATTGAAATGTGGGTGCACGTGGGAGAAGTATGGGAATCAAAGAGGGAGAGAGGGTTTCAAACAGGATATTTGCACCGTATTACTCGGGGTACTCGCCAGTATTACATTAACATACTGGATGCACCAGAACGATGAAACTGCGTGGACTGACTGGTATTGCAAAGAGAGGGAATCGAGGCAGTTTCAAACTAATGCAACCGAAAACCCTCCCAAGATCAGCTCATAACAATGATGACCCGATAAGGAAACATCGTCGAATATTTACGTAATAAGGCCACGTAAGCTTTATTATAGTCATGGCAAGATAACGGATCGAATGGTGGATGGAGTAGGTGGACGAGGAACAGGCGATCACAAAAAAAAAATTCAGCGAAAAGCACACTAGGTAAGAACTACTGACTCAATGATAAACCTATCTGAAGGGTTAAAGTAATCAGTTTATTGTTCGAGTCTACAGGGAGAGCCCCTTAGGCGCGAGCGCTCAGTTAGCTGCTTGATTGCAAAATCGGTTCGGGAGCAAGCCCTAAAAGATGCACTCTTGGAGTTACTCTCTCTTTCAACCCTCCATTAAATGAAACTTTTATTGTTACTGGCTTAGCACGTCAGTCATTATCTGTACGAGTTTTTTGCCCATTTAATAGTCTCGAGGTTTTTGAACAAAAGACAAGGGCTTGATTAACTACCAGCACGAATTCCGGGCACGTCACACAAAAAGCCCACATGCCCGCCCGACTGGCCTGATCATGGTGCAAGGTTTTCCACCCACACTCTTTTCCAACGTTCCCTATGTTCCCTAATAGATGGGCATCAATTTTCTGAACGAAGTTTGCTCTCAAAAATTACAATTAAGTAAAGAATTGAGCGCAAGAAAGAAATTCACGGAAAACAATGGTGAAATGACGGTCTCCACTTATTAAGGCAAATTCGGTTTGCGCTAGAATTTCCACGTGGTGTAAGAAGAATAACTCGGTCATATTAGCATAACGGCCGAAATGAATTGAAAATCGTCAGATTGTTATCGCATGCCAAGATTACTGCGTTCCTACACTAAAAAGAATTCAACAACGTTCACGATCTTTCCGGACAAATTGAGAGTTCCCTTAAGGCGGCATATTGGGGATGGAAGTTCCTGTAACAATGATAATGGAACACTAGGGCGAATCGCTCAGGAGAAGAGTGGATCTGATCTGAGAGCATTTGAAAAAGTTGCGCGTGCGCGGAGAATGAGTCAGGGTGGGTTTGTTGACGCGAATTCGGGACGGGACGAAAAAGATGGTCCAGCTCAAGCGGTTGGGCTCGTGGGTGACCGTACCTGGGTGGGTGCATCCATCATTAAGGAATGAAGAGGTATATGTACTCTTTCAAGATAACTTCGTTTGCTTATGTGGCGGGGACCATCCAAGAGCGATAAGGGAGCAGTTGGGGACTGGCACGGCGTCCTCGGCGTCTGGAAGGAAAGTGATGAGGAGGTGGTGGTCGTGTGCTATTGAGAACTCCCCCTCTCTTCATTTGAACAGGTTTCCCGTGGGGAAGTGTCTCCGCTCATCTCAGCACCGCCGTCCACTTTTTTGGTCAGCCTATTCCATGATAGCGCGAGCCTCAGTCACTCTAAAAAGATGACGATCGATCGAAAGGGGGGAACGGTTAGCGTGGCGGCTCCCAGGCCCTTCTCCCGGTTGCGATAGGAATAAATTTGCGACTTGTAAATTGTCGTTCCGACAAGGACGTGGATTTGCATAACAGGAGTATGTTATCCCTCGAAACCTCGGTTCAGAGAGACAGGGAAGCAGAGAAACCGCGTAGAGGAGTAGAATCTATGTCAAAACGGAAATGACGAAAGGTTGACAACGAGAAGATGAGGTTCGCTGTGATGGGAATGGTCCTTGTGGGACGCTGATGAGGTAAGTGATCGCTCCTACCCGTCAGTCGGATCGGATGAAATAGCAAGCACACTGCGAGTGTGCGCTGCGCGGACCACCACCGGGGAGATAACCCATATTATAAGGACAACATCAATGGGTTATGTCGGAAAGGCCATTCGCCCTTGCTTTCTTCATTCCTATTCCCTCTTTTCCATTCCGCCCCGTGAACACTCCCATTCTCGTCTTCCCTGATTTGGAGTAGGGATACTTGGATAGAAGCACTTCCAGTACTGTTCACAAAACGAATGTCGCGATTGCCGATCAGCCATCTCCCCGACGTTCTATGCCGGCGGTACGGGTGACTCAGCGGAGATGGGGACGTTCTTGGCTTCTCGCCCGCGTATCGATCAACTGTAACGGCATGGTTTCTTGGTTTCTCTGAAGGGCAACGGACAGAGGGACGCTCTAAGCGGGGACTATCTCAGCCACGAGGTGGCCGAGTCGGTCTCGTCAGCGGCGGTCTTTATCAAAGAGCGATCGGAAGGTAAGTATACGTGTTGTTCGTACAGTTCCCATCACACGTGCCATCTCCCAGTGTTCTGCCAATCGATACAAGTCTCTAACGGTTCGCGGGACTTCGTTTACGGGGGTCTCGTAACAGTTCGAACTCTCTCCCACACGGGAACCGTAGACTCTTCTGCCACTTGAACACAGGGGCCCCTAGAGCTTGGGAATGCGCCATATTTGGAGGTGAACTCGATCGCTGGCAGGAGGATTGCGCTCTTGACATTTTACTTTCTGAGGAGGTTCCTGGGTCTCAGTTCTCTACAAGAGGAATACTCGTCCGCTTCAATGACCAGATATGGTGGCCTGAAGCTCAGGCCTGATGGAGGGCTCCTGGAGCCGCTCTGTTGCTGAGCTTTTGGAAGCAGTCAGTGTAACTCCC